GCCATTATGGTTATAATTGCTGGTGCATTTCTGAAGTGATTCTCTATATTGCCACATTATTGCAATATATTTGAATAAAAATGAAATTAATAAGAAAGCTGATAAGATATGTCAACTTATTTGGATCCAAGATACAAAATGAACTTTTTTGATGCTGATTTAATTAACGAAGCAACTCTAAAAAGAGGATACTTTAATTAATAATTGGCGATGTTTCCACAAGGATTCTTCAAGAAATGAATTTTATGGCGAATTTTGAAAGTTATTGATGAAAATTGCAACATCGATCATTTTATCAAAACTTCAAATATTGTTTTCTCAAAAACTAAAAGCTATTTTTCAAAACGGGTTGGTTTTATACTCATATTCCAAGAACTGGAGAGAGAGAGAAAACAAATTTTATTTTTGGATGTGCAAAATATACAAATAAATTTTAAAAAAAGGAGTATATAAGTACACAAAAATTTATAAATTAAAACTCAGACAAAAATAAGACTATCGACCGGAGTCTTTCTGTCCATGCAAGTTCTAGTTAGCGGCAGCTTCAGTCTTCTCTGTCCATCAACAGTTTTAGACGGAGTGGTGGGCGGCCAGATGGGTGGTTTACTCTAGGGATAATGAGCATAATATGGTGGAGAAGATTAGTAGGGAAATTTAGGGTAGTTAATGGGAGAAATATTAGTGGGGTTATTCAGGAGATCATTGCTAGGGCTGAAAAGAGGATTTTGGGGATTCCTTATTCGTGTTACCTCAATGCCGATCTTTCTGCGACTTCTAAATGGTGTCTTGATGTTCTAAGCGCGTGGTTTAGAAGTATAGATCCATATTCTATAATTGGTCTGCATATGGATTTGTAAATGTGCTAGGCACATTTTGTGGAAACTCCGCGACCTCTGGATGACAGGAATATGAAGTGCTTGGCGCGAGTTTTCATTTTCATCTTCACTTTGATGGCGTGGGCAGAGAATTTTAGTGTTCTGTCGAGTGTTATGCTTAGGTATTTGCAGGTTGGTGAGACTGAGAGGGGAGTTGATTGGACTGTGATTGTAAGAGAAGGAGCGTGGACTGGGAGGAAAGGGATGAAGAATTGCGATTTTGAGGAGTTGATTTGAGTGCGCCATTTTCGGTACCAGCTCTCTGTTTCATCGATAAGCATCTGTAGCTTTCGGACCGAAGAGGCAACGTCCCTGTTGTGCGAAACCAGTGATGTGTCATCGGCGCAGAGTAGGGTATATTTATTCACATCAAAGGTGTCTGGGTTGTTGTCGTAAATATCATGGCAGAAGATCCTCTCTGCGGAAGGCCTTGTTGGATGGTTAAACTGCGGGAGTGATGGTTTTTCAGCTTCACAAAATAAGAGCGATCTGAAAGAAATTGCCTTATCAAGTTTAGGAGGTAATATGGAACATTTAACTTATCCAGTTTGAATAGTAGGCCTTTGTAGCAGACTGAATCGAAAGCCTTTCGGACATCCAGAAACACAGCCGCGGATTTACGTTTTTGATATCGTGCCGCTTGAAAGTTGGAAACCAATACTGTAAGTTGGTAGTCCAAATTGGTAGGGTGGGATGTTTTTTGAGACCACAGTCAGGAGCTTGTTCTTGAGATGTATCTCAAATAGCTTTCCTATCACTCTCAGCAGTGAGATGGGGCGGTAGTTTGCTGGGTCGGAAAGTGAGGAATCCTGCTTGGGGACGCAGATTATGATAGAGGTCCTCTAGTCTTGTGGGAAATGTTGAGTCATGAGGCAGAAGTTAATTATTTCCCTGATGTAGGAGTGAATATCAAGGTTCAAGCTTCTCAACACCTTCCTCGAGATGTTATCATAACCAGGAGCCGTGTTCTTTCCTTGGTTAGAAGAGTGAAATATTCATCCTCCAGTATAATAGCATCCTTAGGTGTTTCAGAGGAATTTATAAAAGCAAGTTGATACCAGTTGTCTAGTCCTATTTAGTTATTGTCCAAGAACTGGATTTTATACGAATTTTTAAAACGTAATCGGTGAAAATTGCAAAATTCGAAAAAATTGTCGATTATTTCATAAATTTATTTCTCAAGATCTGAAAGTGATTTTTCAAAACGGCTTTTTGCATTAAAATGAGGATACTTTAAATAATAATCGGAAGTGATAACAACAACAGTTCTGTTAGTAATGAATGTGATGATGAATTACAAGCGAAGAGAAGAAAACTAGGCGAAACTGCAACAAGAGATTTTATATATCGTATTGGGATTGTTATAATGAGGTTGCTAATGACAAACCTGACATAAATAAAGTTGTATTCAATGAAAAAAGCCCTGTTGGGGTTGAACTTGATTATTATCTGCAGTGTCCAACATTTAAAAGAGATGCTTATTCCTGTGAATGGTGGTGCACTAATAGGTCTTTAATATCCGGCCAAAGCCGCATATTTGGTAATTATCCGGTATCCGGTCGGATTTTAAAAAATAGCCGGATGGACCAGATACCGGATAGTTGCCGCGGATATGCGCGCCAACTAGTATATTCCACCACTACTATATGTATAAAATATAAAAAATCAAAATAATATATAAATACATAATGTATAAGTTTTCAAACTATATGACTAGGCAACATCCTTTACATATCGATACAAATCTACAGAATTTCTAAGGATCGACTTTCAATTAAGCGGAGGTCGCTTGTGGCCGAGCAGCTACGTCGCGCGTCGTTCCCCTATCAATTTTCGGATCATTTTGGCTGAATGTGATATTAATGGCAACAACCTCAGTTCGAATAATGGCAATCGTGTACTTTTATATCGATATGATGGTGTATATAGCGCTTCGTCTAGAAGCGACCTCGGCTTAATTACAAAATATATTGTTAGACATCGCGATAATTTTAATAATAATTAATCTTTTTGAAGAATTATTACAACATTTTTCTCCAACACTTCAACTTCACTTTATACTTCCATACCCATAATTGTTGAAACTTTTTACCATGCTAATGATGAGACACTTTTTCCAAATTGTCAGAGACAAACGTCAACGTGGTAGTGGAGCATGTGTGAATAGGAGTCGAAAAGCAGGTATGAAAACTAAACAATTAAGTATGGAAGAACGGATCATCTATTTAGAGCGTGATTATGAGTTCTTAAATTTAAATTACTATCAACAATCGTGACAATCGTTGGAAAAGATGAGAAGGATTTCTATTGTAGCTCCTTCAGTCTCGTAACCTAACTAATCTGGAATATTTTATGGGGAATTTGACAATGTTGGTTTATGATGCCTCATTTATATAGTAAAATAGGTTAAGCAATATAGGATAGCAGCTGCATTCAATATCATTCGCAATACTCTTACGGTCTTTGAGATAATCCGCTAGTCCATGAGACGAACCGCATCTTAGTAAGAGGAGAGCGTTTTTGAAATTTTATATTCATTACTTTTTATGTGTTTCATTATTCTGATTTTATTAATGTATACTAAGTCAAAAAGTTTTCCATTTTCAACATCCGGCTCTAGTTTACCTAATATCATATTTATAATAAACATAAAATTCAATTAGGTATTGTATTACACAAAATTTATAAACAGATGAACATCTCAAATGTAATAATTTATTTCATGGGAATAAATATGAAGAAATCCTCCATATGTGCAGAAGTCGTAACAAAATAAGTTACCATACAAACGAACAGGCATCGTAGAATTACCTATTTCGCTCAAATCCAGAATAAATCTTATCGTAAAGACTTTATTTTTTCTTCTGAACTCTCAGAAGCCTAAGTAATTAGGGGAAATGTGAGTCTTAGTGTTGTGTGGGAAATTTCGCTATTATCGCTGTTGTTATTCGCAAAATGAAGTGATTTTGGATACTAGAAGATGTGGACTTCACTAAAGACAGGACTTGTTCCTGCAGGCATAAACGCCGTTCTTTGATAGGACCGTTGTTATTTGCTTTGTGAATTATGTTATTGCATCTAAAAAAACAGTTAGTCGCCAACGACAACTATGTGAATCTTCATTTCATTTCACATCAATTGCCTCTTTTGTAACATTCTCGACATAGCTTTCTCCAATCTCTATGCAGACGCATCTGATGGAGGTAACTGGCAAATCTCCACATAGATAAATACCTTCTGCTTTGATAGATGGTTTATGCCTTAATTAAGCCTATTTTGAATCTCTATCAAGTGAGCAATAAGGCAACTTTTTAAGAAGTCTATTTATCTCTGCATCAAGTTACCAAGAATCTAATCTTGTACCTATTGGTCAAAACGAAGCATTGACCGAACAAGTCAGAGTCTGTAAAGTTTACTTCTGCGGTTTTGAATGTTACGGAATAAATGTTACATGCCATGAAATCTTGGTAGATCTAGTAAAGATTTTGCCTAATGTGGACCAATTCTCCATGTTTCAATAAGATTTATCGCCCTTTACAATTACTGCCAGAAACTTCAAGTAGATTGTGGCAGCTTTTATCAGATGATGTTGAGCGTTGGCTATATTTCGCAATTGAAAAAAAAAAAAATAGTAGGACATAAAACATTTCCACACTTATGCCCGGTTGCACCGTTTACATAGTTGAGCATAACTTAGTTAAGCAGTTCTTATAGTTAAGAAGAACTTAAATTTTATGTCTATTGCACCGACACAACATATACAATGCTCAACTAAGTAACGTTTAAGTATCGGTTATTTGGCAACAACGCCATAAAATTTAGTTATTTTTATAAATTTTAGTAATTTTTTAGGGTTTTTCGTGTTGTCAAGTTAATGTCAGTTGAAAACTAAATAGGTTAAGTAATGAAAAATAGTTATTTTTATAATAAATTGTTTTATAAATCATTAAAGTAGTTGTTTATTAAATTATCTCTTAAATAATGTATCCCATTGCCGATATTATTCATCTCCACACGGCCAGCCTCCATACAGTTCTTCTGGTCTTGTTCTACACTCTGCCAATGGAGTTAGAAAATACTCTCGCAGAGGATATCCGCTGTCGCCTAAAAGAACCTTATCATTAATCATTTGTAATCAAATAGTATGTACTATATGTACTATTTTACGTTAAGTATCAGTAACATCATACCTAATAATATGCCATTTTGGAAATCTCCGTTTTCTAACCGTGCTCTAATCCGACTATTATTAAATATAGTTGAATAGTGAACAGATCCTGGCCACCTTGCCACAATATCCATGGCTTCCAAATTTGCATTTACAATAACTTGTACGTTAAAAGAAAAGTAGCCTTTTCGGTTCCTGTACACTTCTGCATCTTCGCCACCAGGAGACTGAATTTTCATGTGCGTGCAATCAATGGCACCTATAATCCTGGGAAATGCAGCTATTCCATAAAACTGATTTTGTACTGTTAGAATTTCTTCGGTATTACTTGGCATTTTTATGTATTGCGGTCTCAGCATAGCAATTGCACGCGATACCCGCGATATAATTCTACTAGCTGTTGAAGTATGCATCCCGGTAAAATCAGCTACAATAGTTAAATGGCTAGCAGAAGCGTAAAATCTAAGGGTTGTTAGCAACTGGTTCATTGGAGACACACAGTTGTTTCTGTACAAAACAAGTAGTATTAAAATAATCTAAATTCAGCCTATAAAAGTATAATTTAAAATAATGTATACTACTTACTTATTAGACGGAAATTCTATAATTTCTTGTATTTGTCGTAGAACATACAAACAACTTTGTTTTGTTAGACGAAATCTTTTAAAAAAATTATATTCGTTCATTTCGTGGAAATAATTGGATCTTGTGTATATTAATTTTGGAAAACCAAAATCAATTATTTCCAAAACATCTAAATCGTCGTCGAAAATTTGCAGATCCATTATTTTATTTTATTACTTTTTTAACGTATAGGTTATGTGCGGTTATGTCTATTTGACGTATGCGCTTGAGAACAACTTAAGCACTGGATTTCAAATACTTATATTTGAGAACGTCTTATTGATTTTGAGAACGGGTTACTTGACGGTGCAACGCAAATTCACTACTTAAGCATTACTTAGCCTTTAAGCAATGCTTATGTATTACGGTGCAAACGGGCATTAGTCATTGTCTAAGTTATGTTTTAAGTTAGTCATACGAAATACTTGATATTTAGATCGCAATTTACTTCGTTAGAGATCTTTCTTGATCTCTGGTAGACTATACATTGCTAGAAAATTAGATATAAGTAGCACAAGGATAGATAGTACTAGCAGAAATCTAGATGCTGGTAGAAGTTAAAGTATTAATGGAAGACTAGACTCTGCTGGCAGGAGACTAAAAATTGCGGGGAGACCATTTACTACTTGTAAAATGCTAGATACTTCGGACGGACGACGATATATTACACCACCTTACTTATAGAACACTAACACTGCTTATAGAATTCTAGATATCGCTGGCAGAAGGTTAAATGCATTTAGCAAATGACTAGATACGATAAATGATAAACTAGATTCTGTTAATAGTGGATACATTGCTAGAAGATTAGATATAACTAGCACAAGGATAGATAGGACTAGTAAAAATCTAGATCCTTCTGGTAGAACTTAAAGTATTAATGGAAGACTAGACTCTGCACTAAATATTGCGGGTAGACCATTTACTGCTTGTAAAATGCTAAATACTTTTGACGGAAGACAATATATTACCAATGGAAGACTAAACCAAAGATCTTTATTGAGATCTTTAAGTTCTTCGTAAAAACTTCTTTTTAAGGTTTATGAATAAGTTCGATGTCATTCGCATTATAAAAAAAATTCTAAGAGTTATATTTAATAAGCTCAGACGTGTTCTTTAATGTTTGACACAAAATTTATATATTTGTTTATTACTCTTAATTAATTATCTTTTTCTTTATAACCTAACTAATTTATCTTTTCTTTTTTTTTCAGGCAGCAATTTTACAACAAACAGCTGAATACATCTACCAATTAGAACAAGAAAAAACACGTTTACTCTCACAAAATTGTCAACTAAAACGTTTAGTAAACCAACACGAAGGTGGCGAGTTACCGCCAAAGAAACGTAAAACGGAAGTAATGCTGCCGATTTCGGAATCCTCCGACGAAGGTCTCGGATCAATGTCTCCGGAACCGATAAACGTGATCGGTGTTGTAAAAACAAGTAGTGATCAATCGACGACATGCGAATTGCGTAGACAGCTCGAACAAGAAAGAAACCTTCGCATTCTTTACGAAGAACAATTGAGACAGTACGAAAATCAACACATCATCTATCAACAACAACCGACGGGGCAAATTTATACAGTCGAAGATGGTGATGATTTAAAACTTCAGTTGGTCGCCCCGGAAAGTTTACCACCAGTTGGACATACTCAAACGGTTGTTTGTTCTCCAGTTCCTTCGAGAAGTCCAAGTCCGGTTCCAAGTACCGTAGCTGTTTCGGCTGCACCTGAACAACAACAGCGACTGCCGTCAGTTTTGGAAGCCGCTATTAAAGCGGAACCGAAAGTTGAAGTTGAACGTCTACCATCGCCGAATACTTCGCCGCATGAAGATGGTACGACGACAACGACGACGATTCCAGCTCGATTATATTCGACGAATACTTCGAGACAAAATTTGGAAACGATAGTTGAAGCAATTCGTCATTTGGAAGGTGATCACATGTTCGGGGATGAGCCCCAAACGACGTCGACGCCGCAACAGGAAGCGCCGTTGGCTTTGACGACGACGACGCGATCCACGGAACATATTATAAAAGTCGAGATGAATCCATACTTGGATTTCCATCAGGTTCAACAGTCTCGACCTGGTGTTATAGTTGTTAAACAAGCGTCGTGATTATATCGTGAAAGGAACAACAATAATGTTAACAACAACCAAGTTTAGAATGTCTTTAGAAATTTTTGTCCTTTTTTTTGAAGTAGTAGATGAAAAATGTAGAAATGGGAAAGAAAAAGGAGGAGGATTTAAAGATTTTAAAGCAAAAAATTAAACGAAATTGAGATTTTTTTTACATAGATCGAATTAAGAAATGCGTAACTTTTTAAAAACATTTAAAAAATGATGGTAAAAATTAAAAAAAATTCTGAAACGTTTAAATGAAGTTGAATAGTCAAAAATTTTGTCTTAATTGTTAACTTTTGAAGTAATCTCTTTAAAAATTAATAACTCAAATTTGAAGTTAATTTTAGTACTAAACATATTTGTACTTTGTACTATAACTATCTTCGATTATAGTTAATAAATTTGTTAGGTAATATGTTGTTCTTTGTGAAATCATGTTGCTTATTGAATGACTCTAAGCAATATAACCTGATAGTTGGTATTATTCGCAATATATGTATATGATTTGGATAGAATTTCTTGTAAAGTAATTTTAAAAGTTTGTAACTGTCTCATAAAAAACAAGGTAGAGTGGGTGTTCAACTTTCTTGAGTTGTGTTGGGTTGAATTCTTGAGAGGAGAAATGTTTATTATTATCATTGTTTCCAAGGACAGTAGAATCTAATAGGACTGTTACATCCATTGTTGTGATAACACGCCTGCACACTACGTCACACCATTTGCCACGCCCAGTCAGCTGTTATTGTGTTTTATGCGTTTGCTGTGTATTTTTAGAAGTTATATCGTAGACGTTATTCATATTCAAACGTATTAATGTCTATCATATAACTTCTAAAAACACACAGCAAACGCATAGAACGCAATGACAGTTAAATGGGCGTCGCTAATAGTGTGACGTAGAGTGCGGACAACCAACCCGTATTGGGCTACAAAACAACAATGTCCAGTTAGATTCTACTGTCCTTGCATTAATTAGAACATGACTTCTCGTTTTCATGGAAACTGTCTAAATTTGTGTATCTCTTGCAACAGTTTTCTTCTTTATTGCTATATGACTCACTGAGAAATAACTCTAACATGTTCCTTGGCAATGATTCGCACTATTTGTATAGAGTGGCAAGGTGACAATTAAGGATTTGAAGACTGTAGCGATGGAACCAAATGGACAAATACTAATTAACGGAAATAAACAGTTTTTTGCATTTATTCAAGCTGAAATTTAGAAGTTTCCATCGTCTTTGCAGTTTTTGAGGTAAATGGGAATAAATTTCTGCTTTAATGAGACTCTTCTATTGATAAAAAACTAACTGAAATGTAAAGTTCACATTTTGTTTTGCTAGATTTGTAAATTATTTTCGTCTTTAGATACGCTATCCGCACCTTTTGATTCAACGACTAACGAAATTTCAGCTGAAGTATCATCGTTTAGAATTTAATGAAGATCATCCTGACTCATGTCCACTGGTTATCTAGAAGTGCCACAATCAACTTCATTCTGCTCAAAATTTGAATCAACATCATGGTCGATTAGCTATCTTCACCTTTATATCCTTTATCATCTGACTATTCATCATCACTATCCTCGATAGCTGCTTCTTTCTAGTCCTCTAAATTGTAGCACTCTATCAAAACTTTTACTTTATCTGGATTACCTTTTTATCTGTTCTTTTTATTTTCTTCTTTTTCTTTCGGTCATTATAAACTAAAAATATGGTAAGCATAGGTATTTAGCAATTGTATTTTATAGAGAAAGCTTTCCTGCTTTAGTATACGCATCGATTACAACCGTAACAAAAACTTTTTGGAAAACGCAATTGTTTACATGAAGACGCAACATACAGCGTTAATAGTTGTCGCAATTACAATTGTAATCCACGCGTATACTTCATGAGTGATGCGTTAAACTTCTAAAAATGATCAAAAAATAGTAATCATACATTTCTTGACTCTAACTAAAAGACCTAAATCATTTGGAGATGTGTAATCAAACTACTCATTTTTCGAAACTATATATACAGGGTGTGGCAAAGTAGATTAAGCAGTTTTGAAGGGTAATAATACAACTTTATTGACCTACATTTTTTCTTGCCATTAAAAGCAGAAGTAGTTGTCATTGATGTGAGTCAAGGTCTATGTAAACAAGTCAAGCAAATTACCCTTAATCAGTTTGCTCTCCAGATACTCCAATCCGTGAAAATGTTATCAACTTTTATTGAAGGATGTACGAGAATGATCTGAATTCGAAATACTACCAGCGTGGCTAGTAATGAAGTGATAGCAGTGCTAACACGAAAGTAGTGCTAAAGTGTGTCGTTTATGTTAGCCAAACAATGAATAAGACTGATGGAGGTGGCGATGCTTTTTCTGAAATCTATCAAACCAAGTGTCCTAGCTTGCCGCTTACTGGAGCTATGGAAAAGTAAGAATAATAATCTGACAATATTGGAAATGATCTCCAAAACTTTGTACACCTCGTTCTGATGGGGTTTGAAGGCGACGCGTAAACACACTTTTCGTTGACTATCCCCAGAGAAGTAAGTAACATATGCTCAAATCTGCGTCTAGGAAAAGTTCTCTTAAAGCTGTCGGTGAATTTAACATCCCTAACAGCTATTCTTCAACAATTTCTTTCATTTTTGGCTCCAGGAAATTTCGTAATATTGTCACATACCGCTCCAAATTGTGATGCGGCACCCCACACTGTTAATTTAGGGGATTTTTGCGGTTTTTTGTGAAAAATGTTGTCGAATGTTCAGCCCAGTAGTGAAAATTTTGCTTTTTCATAGCTTCAGTGAGGTAAAAATGAGCTTCGTTGTTAATAAAGAAAGCTGCGTCTAAAGTAATCTGTGCAAGCGCTTATTCTACACAATTTCTTCTGCCGCATCCTGTTCTAGATCTATTAAAATTAAGTATCTGAATGACGCATTAAACATTAAAAGTTCATAGATGATTGGGAATAGTATCATATTTATCAAAGATATGTAATGTCAAAATTTTGGAAACATTTAAAGTCTATATGTTTCGGATATAACTATATATATAGTAAAATATATAATAAAATATCAGAGATTAAATATTTATAATATAAAATATATATATTATTATATTATATATAATAATAATATTTTATTGTATATCTTTTAATATATATAATTAAATTGGGACACATTTTAACATTAAATTATTGCGTGGATGAAATAAATTTAGCAGAGTTTGCGAATTTTTTAAAATTTTTACCATCATTTTTAAAATATATATAAATATATATAAAAATTAGCATTTTTTAATTTTTGAGTTAAGTAAAAAAAATCTCAAAGAAATGATATGGTGATGTTAAAAAAAATTAAGATAAAGGTTAAATTAATCGAAGTAAGTCGAATCTCCTACTATTATTATTATAATAATTAAAAAAATAATAAAAAAAAATGAAAGAAAAATGGTTATTGTGAAATGGTAAACGGAAAAACTATAAAAAATAAAAAAAAATAAGGAAACGAAATGAACCCAACAAAAATCCCCCTTTTTTATAGACACTAAATAATTTTTTAATATGATGTGTTTTTTTTATAATTATTATTTTGTTACTTAAAAAACCCTCGAAGAAACGTTTCGTCTTATTTGAAACACCAAAAAACATATTTATCGTGAGTTATTATTATTAATTATTATTATTAAACGCAACGTTTTGTTCCTTTTTTTGTACATATTATATTATTACATACGAGAAAATATTATTATTATTACGTGTTTACGTCGTCTTTAGGATTTAGTAACGAACCGAGCGAGAGAATTTCCCCAAAAACAACACTCAAGGCTTTTAATTACTATTAATATTATTTTTTATTTTCAACTTTTTTCTGTCTCTCTTCTCTCGAGTCGTCTAGATTGTATAAATCGATCGATTTGTTTTGTTGTTATTATTTTTTAATTATTACTATTACTACTACTACCACTACTACAATTACCGGTAAGATTTACTTTAAAAACAAATACGAAAGATGGAAAAAATTAATTAAAAAAAAAAATGAAGCAAAAAACCCACACACTCTTTGTATATATATATAAAACATACTTAATAAATTTAAACAAGAAAAAAATATGCAAAAACACAAAAGTTTCGTATACGTACGATGAAGTTTGAAATATTATTGTTTTCGTTATGCATAAATACATAGTTTAGATCAAGTTACTGTAACATGTAAAATTATAAAAGGAATTTCATTGATTTTTGTCGATATAATTATTGTTTTTGACGTGATCAAAGCTTATCAGTTCATCAATAATTATAACTACCTCTCATTTCATTTAATTATTTAAAAACCATCAATAACCCCAGTTATTTTTTATTTTTTTTAATACATAATGTAATTCCTTTTATAATTAAAAACAAATGATCAAGTTAAACATAGGCCAATACACATTCAAGTAATAATCGTAGTAGCAACATGATCTTTGCTCTGGGTGATTGGATTTTTGTGATTGAGAAATGTTGTAGGGAATGTCTTTTATGGTCTTTTTTCTTTTGAAATGAATGAATGAGTACGAGATTGATTGGAGGAGTGTTTGTACTTTTTTGGAAGATGCAGGATGAATTTGGCGATTTTTTTCGATCCTTTTGATTTTTTTTATTACATAAATTTAGTGTAAAAATTTCTTAAACATTCACAACTGCAAAAAGATAAAATAAAAAAAGATTTTTTAAAAAAATACTTAGATCTGAACTCGTTTTTTAATAATAATAAATAAATTATTGTAGATTTGCGTCAACTCCTCTAAAAGAGACAGTATTAAGGGGTTTCGATACGCAAATCTGTATTAAAAATTATTTATAAAAAATTTGTATTTGTAAAAGTTGTACGAAACTTTAAATTTGTCGCCATAAGCTTATGAAAAAAAATCTTGTAATCTTTACGAGCTTTCTGTGTATTTTCTTTTTTATTTAATGTAAAATAAACACAATAAAATAATTTTTTTGTTTAATTTATATCATCGAATTCGGTTCTAATTTGTTTTTTAAATAAGTAATTAAGCTCGCTGAAGATAACATTTTTTTAAAACTTATTTCTAATTTTTGTTCCGAATTTTTTTAAACATTGATATGGAATTTGAAGAAAATCATGAAGAACGAAAAAAAAACTTATGTTGTGTCGCTTGTATCATAA